TTGTCGAGTCTGCACCGGCAGCACGCCGGGACCTTGCCGTCGCACTGCGCGTCACGGCGACGGCAGGTCCAGCATCGCAATCCGATAGGCATCGGTTCCAGTGACCGAGCGCATGATCTTTTCCGGAGGTGGGGAGGGAGAAGTTTTTGGGCTTGGCCTGGCGTTGTTGCGAGCAGTGCTGCTTCGCGACGTTGCATCCTCCCATTATAAATAGCACCGCCCGGCTCCGGTCCCCAGTATTGCCTGTTGCAGCTTAGCCGCCAAGGGGGAGGGAGGGGAGGCCTGGAAGCAGATTAGCCCATGTCCATCCTACTCATCTGGAGGTGAAGATCGCAGGGGTTTCCATGATCATTTGCGGTCACCCATGTCAACGACAGGGGGCCGGTTCTTCAGTCTCCATTCCTTCAAATCTTGTTTCCCTCATCCTTTCCATTCTGCTAGTTTCGCCCACTATGCAGTCATTTTTGTGTGTGCTGTACCCGCTCGGGTTGTGTGACCGACGGCCGGACAGGGCTTGAAAGAGAGAAGGGGATGGGAGACCTGTAGCCTTCTACACACCCGTGGAGGATAGCTGTGGTTGTGTTGATCTCCCACATGCGTATGTGCAAATGTATGCATGCTGTTTTTTTCTAGGTGATGCAAATTGACCGAGTATCGTAGGTGCCTACAAGTCACAGCTGCACTGCAGGATGGTGGTGACTGGCTGCTGCGTCGGTGACACAAAAGGGACCAGACCCCCTGGGTCGCTGATACGTAGTTGACATATTGATCAACGACATGCCGTATGGACATGGGTTGTTGATGGTGCAAATGCCCTCGCTGTTGAGTGAATCAAAGCATGACAGTGAGAATTGCCGTCCATCGTTCATCGTTCATCGCTTTGATGTTCACTGACGACATGGGCGCACGATATCCCACCCTCCTCGAGCTGGATCGGCAACGCGGCATCACCGCAGCACAAGCTTTGCCCTCGTCACCCTGGCTCAGGTCGGCTCGGGCTTGCACAAATCAGCTTCACCACGGCATTCAGGACTTTTGAGTCGTACAAAAGCCATGACACGCCCGGCAGCCATGAACATGGATCGGGGCTGAACTAAATTTACCAGCCAGTCATCTTCCTGTCCGCCAAAGATGGCAATGCTGCTCAATTCTGTTGCCAAGATCGCTTGGGTCGTTGCCGAGTACTTGACAGGCAAGTCCACTCGCAAGCACACTGCTGGGCCAGCCAAGCCCAAGTAAATTCTATGAATCTCATAAGAAGCTGGACGAGAGATAGTGAAGGTAGGTATTAGACTTGTCCGCATCTTTCCATCTAAGGCGTCTTCCACCGTTCACCAGGCGTAGCGTCAGGTTGGCCATGGCTTCAGGCGTTCTTAAAAGTAACTGACTGTGGCGCTTTAAAGTCATTTTTGGCAGTGAGCTAGACCGCCAGCTTCCGAAGTTAGTTGGTCATCCTCTACGACTAGCGAAAGCCACGGCTAGGTTAGGTAGCTTGTCTTTCATTGTCTTCTCACAAGTGAGCTCCTTGCACGCCCAGTTTCAAGTTCTCGGCAATTTTGTGTTCACGGTATTGCATAGACTGGCTAACAGTTTCTTTATTTTTGCTTCTCTTGTTTTCTTTTATAAATCATTTTCACCATCCCCCGCCAGGGGGTTTTGCATGTTTTATGTTTTATTTTTAGTCTTCGCGTTAGGTTATATAGTTGCAAAAAGAACACAACCCCTTCAATACTGGTGACGCATGTGTCGACGATTTACCTCCACTCCCCCCCCCCCCCCCCCCCCCCCCCCCCAGTCTCTAATTTTGAACATCTGCCGGGCGCACGCCCTTAGAAGGGTGTTGACGTGATCCTTGTGGCCTACACAAATAGCCATATTTCATTCCTTCTTCGTCCTGTTGCCGGAAGCGTGCTTGTCAGGCATTCTCAGTTGTGCATGGTGTCCATGAGCCACAATATGTCATGCACGCTACTTCCAGTACCGAACGACGAGCTTCGCGTAGTTCGAACCGAGTAACATAGTCTGGGCGAGGTTTGAACAGACTACCGTCTCTTGACTTGTAAGGAGTTGACTTAGAGGGAGGATCTAACGACAGGCAAGGAAGTGCCCGTAGTGATATTGCCTCGGTCCGTTGTTGCTGTTGCGTTGATGGGAAAAGGGCTCCCAGAAAGAGTTCCATTCTGGTACATTTGAGCTATACCAGTAGCTGCAGGAGAAGACGGGTAAGGAATGCTCGCGACACCAGCAACGAGCATGGCGAGGAATGAAAGCGTGCTGAGAAGCGAATAAGACATGGCCTGCCACTCTAGAGTTGAATTGGGTAAGAAGAGAAGAAAGTTTGGAGACTGGAAATACTGCTTAGAAGAGAAGAAAACTAAAACAACTTTCAAAGCTGGAGGCTGGCATTTGGAATTGGGAAAAGACTACCCATATATGTGCGAAGACGGCCGTAGCATCAAATCCATGTTCCAAGTTATTGCAGACTAAAATACAAGACGCTGCTTGCCGAGTATACTGAGTCAGGCTCTACGGAACGGTGCGTGGCACACTTTACTGACTATCCTATCATGGCTTGTTGCCCCTGATCTACGAAGACGAGAGATTACGCGTTGGATTTGCGGCACTTTCTTTTTCATTTTTTTTTTTCAAACATCCGGCCGCAAGCTACCATCAGACTATCCCTTTACGTCTTTGAAGATCGTATCTATAATCTGCCGGCATTCCCCCTGTGCCCTGGACGAAATCGGAGTGCAGGCGCGAGCGATCTGGGTCCATCGAGGGAGAGGAAGCAAGAAAAAGGGGCAGCGAGGTGGAGCCTGTACATACCGAGCCGCAGAAGATAACTAGATCGAACACAAAATTGATCTGAAAACTGGGTACTAGTGAATGTGCCCAGATAACGGGAAACAAGTGGAATAGTAGCTAGGTCCATTACTGTTAACGGTCAATGTTCTAGGTGCTCAAGCTAATGCGCCCAGCTAACGTTGCTTGACACGCACCGCCGGCCCATGTGGCGTCGTGGAAAGACGAAGAAAGTTCACGCAATTCTCCGAGGCCGCGTGTATGTATCTTATGGAGGACAAACTCAAAAAAGTCAGCCTTTTGTTGGCTAAGAGGACGGGAGGCGTTTGTGGCTTTTTTTTTCTTTCGAACTGCCCATTCGGCCCAAGCATAGTCGCGATCTAAAGGGGGAAAGTAGGGAAAAAGAAGGGCCGCAAAGGCAGCTAGAGTTGAGCCGCGTGGCATAGGGCTGATTAGATACGAAGGATACGAATTCTTGATTTTTCCCCCAAGACTGCATGCCGTTCTTAGAGCAGACCCCAGCGAAGTAGGTTTCAAGGTTTGTATTCATCATGCATTGTCACTTTTAAGCGCGGTTGAGGAACCACGTATTTATAGAGATAGCTTAGTAGCGATCTATTGTGATTAGGTTTTCCCCAGCCTATTTTCCCTTCGATAAAAACATATTTTCGTTACATATCTGTTTCGACTTTACAACCGATCAATGTTGTATAGTGGCTATTCTATACGAAGGACAAAAAATAAGACGCGCACAAGCCATCATCTGTCCATAGGTCCACCACCTGAGATAGCTAGATATTCTATGGTTTGATAATTATAGACACCTCGAAGCCATCATCTGTCCATAGGTCCACCACCTGAGATAGCTAGATATTCTATGGTTTGATAATTATAGACACCTCGAAGCCAATACTAGCGATTTTCTTTTTTGAGAAACTAATGTAATGAATCGTATTTGCATTGCTGTACGTGCTTGCGTATGTAAGTACTTGATATCCTTTCCAAAAAAAAACCATAATGCGAGAAAACAAAATGCCGAATTAGTGCGTGTAGTGCTTGATCATGAGCATTCTCCAAATTTTAATATTAACCCAGCCAAGAGCTCTTTATCTATGTAGTTGAAGACAAAGATGAAATAATGGAAAGATCTCGCAAATTTCTCGAGATTCCCGGCACTCGTAGCTGAGTTTGAGCAACTCAAAGGGTACAATCTCAAGGTTCCTGTTTAAAGGATGCCAGCCAGAGAGGTATTCTTCCGAGATACCCAAGAAAGATAACAGACAGAAACTAGATTTCAGTTGTAGGCCAGGTGCTTGTGCAAGCTTCATGATCAACTGTGACAAAGGAATGATCTTGAAAGGCGAGTATAGTTTTCAGAACTTCACTGCTTCCATTATGTCAGATCACTTCACGACTTTAGGAATAACCGTTCATATTGTTTAGTTCAGCCATGGTCTGCTCAATGGTTCCTCTAGATTATTACTTAGTTGAATTGACAACGATGATTTCAGTTGTCCGGTATATCTCCCACGACCACCCATGTTGCAAGCTGGCCCGGTACAAGCCGCTCGCAGTACTGTACGGATACTCCATATCAGAATAATGGCATCCCCTGACAACTACCTCCTATAGGTAATGCTACCACGTTTCTATATAATATTGCGTACTATTGAATGAAAGAAACTGTCTATACAGAGGTCAACGCCAAACGGTGATCCATGATAAGTGAAGCGACGGAAAATGAGCTCGATAACCGTCATACCTACGATAATGTGCAAAGTCATTGTGTATTGGACATAGCAACAGTGCTTTTACTTCCGTGGTTACTTGCTAACATCCTTGACTCAGCTATGGTTGTGTTGAACACTTTCGTACCTTTGTGGCACCTACCCAGCCATTGTGTTATGTACTTAGGCAGGATAAGCTTTTAGTAGCGCATGCCCTATGAGAAATGCTAAGTTAGGGGAGGTGTGTTGTGTGGTGACCAGGGAGCAAGAACAGATTTTGTGTGTGTTGGCTAACGTTACATTGTTAAATATACGACTTGGGCAAAAAGAACGAAAGGCGGCAGTCAGGCGCCTCTATCTCTTCCTCTTCGACCCGCTCTCATTCAGTGGAAGGAAAAAAAAAATTTATACCCTGTATTCACCTGAATTTCTGTGAACGCCTCGATCGAGAGCATAAAAAGTATATATTGAAGCCCCACGTGGGGCTCGAACCCACAGCCTTCAGATTCTCTTCTAGTAGAAGTCTGACGCGCTACCATTGCGCTAGTGGGGCAGATTGCTCACTGGCTGGTTGAGATTTTCGCAGCTTATCCAGGCTCAATAGATTGAAACTCTAGTAGTGTAAAGCTAAATGTCCCGAACTCTGTTCCAATCGTCCTTACATGCATAGGTACATAAGTTAGTTGTAAATATGAAGCGACAATAGAGATATAGGGAACAAATTGCTGTGGTTATATTAACAAAAAACTTTGGAGTACAGTATCTCGCAAGACCCAAAGTATATACACCATGATTTTATTTGTCGGCCCTGCAAGATTCTCTTGGCTCAGTACGGAGGTCGTCTTTGCATCTTGATGATGCAGAGAGTGCGCGTGTAGCATGGCTCTTGGGTTATTTTCCTGCCAGATCGAAGCGTGTGCTGAAATTTAGTGTATAGTTTGTCAAAATGTGTCACCTCTGCGGAGCTCATATGCGCCGTTCGGCTGACTGGAAGTACCAGTAATGGAAAGACCACATGGAGTTACGTAGCTCATATACTGTTAACGATTTCGCATTAATGCCGTGAAGTGAAAAAAGAGAACGCTAACTAACAATGTAACTAAATGAATTGCCATACACCCTCGTTATGGAAAAACTCCATGCAATGTCTACAGATATCATACAAATAGCGTACCTGTGTTTCTTGCTTTCCTTTCCTATCAAGAGGGAACTGATGCGATCATCTGTATCGTCTTACTCATGACCTGGGCTCGGCAGTTTCTCAGCATAAGCTGCTAGCTTCGCTTCTTCGCTGGTTTGCCCATCTTTCCTACCGCGACTTGCCTCCTCGTCGGATTCGCCACCATCCGGGAGGTCGCTCTTGACCCCTTTAAGGGAATCAGCATCGTCATCTTTTCCGAGCATCTCTCCCTTGATGCTGCTAGCCTGGCTCACGTTGGCGCTGTCGGGGCTTTGCACTCTTAATCCAAGCTTCTTTTCATGGCTCGGGTCTACTCCGCTCCCACCTTTCCAGTCGGCTGGCTGCATTTGAGGGACCGGAGAGTCAACGCTAGGTTCCGGGATGACCTGCTCGCCTGCATCAGAGTCGGCAAATCGCCAGACCACAGCTATGCGGTCTGCAGCCCTCGTTCCTTTTTGGCTGGAACCCTTTATGCCGTCCATCTTATCCCACTCGATCTCAAACACGCCATTGTCGGATGGAATCCCATCTTGCTCAGGGCCATTACCTTCAAAAAAAGCGTTGAACCAGACGTGAGCTACAGCGGTGACCATGGTCAGACCCACAGTACTTGGTGTTCGATTCCGCCGCTCAAGGGTGATATTCACATCACTGGTCAGCACTCTAACATTGTCTTTGGGCTTAAAGATGACGGCACGGCCCCCGGGCTCTGGCTCTGAGCCACGGTTTGGCAGCGATGTAGAAGACGAGTTGGCAGAGCTAGACATAGGATTTCCGTTCTTTTCCTTCTTAGACTTGGATCGGGATGGTTCCTTGCTGGGTATGCTTTGTGCCGAGGCATTTCCAGAGATGGGTGAGATGAGTTTGGTGTAAGGTTTGTTAATTTTCGTTTCTGTGCTTCCGCCGGTTGAATCTCCACTGTTTATGGCGGCTTTACCTTGAGAGGCATCCCCTTCCCCTACATCATTCTTCTGTGTAGTAGGGCTTGTAACGGGGCTAGTTACATAGCTGGCCATGTCATAGATCGCATCCATCAGCCCACCGCCCTCTGGCGCGTTGCCTTCGATGACGAAGCGCTCGCTCTTCTGGAATGTATGGAAGACTTTGATCTTTTTGCCTTCATCCACGAAGCCCTCAACTGCGAGCTTCACACCGTGGCAAAGACCCCACACATGGACCTCGAGCACCTCAACTGGACGGTCCACATACTTCTTGCCCCCTTTCGTCCACCGATCCACGTAGCCAACCCAACGCACCTGACTGGGTATACTAACGCCAGGGCCAAACTTGGGCCGCATCCGTCTCTCTGTGAATCTGGCAAGGGCTTGTTCGGGCGTCCAACCGCACTCGGAGATCAGAAAACTACAAGCCGTAGTGCCGCTTCTGCCCTTCCCTGCCTTACAATGTACGACAATGACACGGGGGTTCTTCTTATCCTTCCATGCGTCCAAGACTTTCCCTACAGTCTTTTTGTCCTTATCATCTTGGGACTGCGCCCCATCTTCATCGGGTTCATTCCCGTCAAGCCAATCCCGCATACTTGCCATGATGAGGGGAATTAGCTTAAAGGGTGGCGGATGATGGTCTGGCCACGGGTAATGCTTAATTCGGTTGTATACCAAGTGGTCAGGGTACCCAGTGCCCTCGGCACGAAATTCCCATATTGCCCAATTCTTGCCATGCTTTGAGTCCAAAAATGCAACGAGGCGATCGAGGGGGTTACGGTAAGCGCGCTTTGGGTATGTCTGAGAAGGGCCGGAGCTAGGATACAGGTCAGTATGATTTCTTCTAGCGATCACGGCTGGTTGCGGCTGCTTCTGCGGCTCATGATTCTGCAACTGCTGCTATGAGAGCGCCTTGCAACAAGGAGCCATGGCAACGTACGTGGCAATAATGTTATCCGTGACATAGCACAGATCGAGCCCGGCTTCAGGATGCCTCGCTCGGGGACCGGCTACAATTTGTCGCAGCAGTGAAGCCATGGTGGTTGATGAATTTTGGAGGCTATCTCATTGCACACGACAAGTTACCCAAGCCAGGGCCGCGTTGTAGATGAGAGATGTGTGTGGTTAGAAAAACTGCTGTGGCGTAGCGACACAGCATGGCCGCTCCAAGAGACCTGGGACATTTAACGTTAGGTGCGCTACGTCATCATCGCACTTTGGGGGTGTTGTTAGTTAGGCTGGCATCGGAGAGGCGCTAACTGGTAGTTATATGACGTGGTACATCATCCCACCCTTTGCCCGACCAGTTAGTTAGCTTGAAAACGTTGCGGGAGGTTTGTAACTTAATTACCTACTAAATATAAGATATGTACTCATCAGTTCACCACAGCAAGTACTGCAGACCCCGCCAGAAGCTGCTAATTAATCCCTGAAGCTTGCCTTCTGATTCCTGGTGGGGGGCATTTTGATAGACGGCAGTACAGTAGTATGGGAGGCAAACTTCCCTGCAAACGGGAAGCCCTCACAGCTGGCAAGCGGACTTCGCAACGCTGCCATTACATGCTACCATAACATACTTAGTAGGTAGTTATCCAGGACTTGTTCTGCTGAAAATGGCGGATTACTTCAACTTATGCCCTCTTAAAGAACGAAGACGATCGCATTGATATGGGGACAAGCTCTCCTTCGTTCGACTTGGAGGTAGTATTAAAGCGAAGAAACATGTCCATCCAGATCACCCTGCTAGCCGGTGCCTTTCTCCATGATGTTTATACAGGCTCACCAAGATTCGAGAGCTTGGGATGCAATTCGCATTTCATAAGACGTGGGAGCTTGGAACAGAAAATTTTGTTTTGGAAATAATTCATAAACGGAATTGAGTAGTCGCCTAATTAGAAAAAGAGATCCTCCTGGCCGCTCTCTAATACAGAATGTAGACCGCCGCTCCTATCCCATTGTTCACCGTTTAGTATCCCCCCACCCAAAATGACATGCGGATATCGCCAATCACAATGTAAGTGAGCTTCTGAAAGCCGTGTATCCGCGCACCACTACAGGGCGCACTACGCTCTTGCCCGATTTGCTACATCCCCCTTAATCCCCAACATACTCTTTACTTCAGAGATGTGCGGCCCTCATCACCCCAAGCCGCATGTTGTTATATTTGATGACCTGCATGCAATCGCAAGCTCTCGCCGCACAGCAAATGCAGACCATCGTTTGGGTTAGTACGTGTTGCCAGGTCTGGGAGCCATTTACGTTGTCTTCTTGGGAACGGCTCCTCCGCTGATGTACTTGGATGGGTCGGTCGAGCTGTGGAACTGGCGAACAGCTCCCTTGATACCATCCCAAACCTGTCGCGCAGCAGGGGGAGTGTTCTGCTGGCCGACGACCGAGTCAATACGAGCCTCCAGCAGGCTGAAGGAGTTCTGCACGTGCGAGCTCTGCGAGAAGCGCGCTCGAAGGAAGGCGGTGTAGATGACCAGCAAGATCCACGACTTTTGGGTGAAGATGATGGCCGCCAGGAAAATGCGAATCCACAGGAAGATCTCGAGGCTGGACACGATGGACATCGAGGCGTCATAGTAGGTTTTAACAAACTGACCGATAGCATCGGCTACGGGATTCGTTGCGGGCTTGGCTCCAGTGGCAGGAGCTGGGGCGGGAGAAACGGTGGGGATAACGTTGGCACGGGTATAAGTAGCAACGTGGAAGACTGAGTAGATGCCATAAGGGAGTAGGGCGAGGGGGTACTGCGGTGCGAAGAGCCAGACCAAGGCCAGCACTGATATGGTCAGTATATCACGAGATCAAGATGACACGGTGACAATAGTTGTGCTGGGCAAACTTACGCAGATACTGGACATTCTCATCGGAAAGAAGCCCGAGAATTCCGCCAGTCGGCTTAGCGCCAACCTTTTGTCGGGCTTTCCAGGTCTTGAAGACGACGATTCCGTAGGTTACGGCGGCGGCGATGAATGCAGTGCGGTAGCAGAACTTGGCCATGCCGGAATAGTAGTTCATTCGGATCCATGATAGAGAGTAGCGGAAGATGGAGAGCAGTAGGATGAGGTGTCTGTGCTAGAATTATTAGCCATCGTGGTTATTCTAAAATGTTTTCGTGGCTGCAAGGCTCTTTGAGCGGGTGGGAAAGCCCTCATGCTGCCATGGGTGTTGAGGTGGAGGTGGAGTTGGAGGCGGAGGTGGAGGTTGACAGATCGCAACGCTGCCAAGTGTGAAAGGGTCGAACATACCCGGCAAACCAGCCGACTGCAGATTCCAATAGGTTAGAGAAAGTTTCGACGTCTGATATTGAGCTGGCGGAACAGAGGATACGTACACTGAAGGGTCTTCACGAGGGCCAAGGCCCTCTCCTGCAGAGGCAGGTTGGCAGGCGGTGGGGGAGCCATAGCTTGCTGGCGAAGGTCA